CCATTTACCCCCCCCCCCTTTCTCCCTCTCTCCATCACCCCTCCCACTCCCCGTCTCTCATGTTGATTACTTTGCTTTCCCCTGGCATCATCATCCCTTTTAGCGCCATTACTCATTCATGACTCATCTCATCTTATTCGATTCCAGAGATGTTGCTTGGCTCGCATCCAGGGCGTACATTCTCAAAGGAAAAGGAGCTACTTGTTTTGCAGCTCAAGCAACATCATGTACGCGGTACATCATCAAAACAAAATGTTTAAAGGGGCTCATGACATCAATGAGCATCATTGAGTACGACACAAATGCGCATTAATGTAGTACGAATGATTATAATGCCAGATGCACAAGAGGCTTCATTCGATTGCGCCCCCTCCCCTGCCCTGTCCTAACCAAGCCCGGAAAGGAATGTTAGGGGCTCGCCAGTCACGTCACCGAGCGCCAATGCGATTGCGTCAATGCCCGTCATCGCACACGAAGCGTCAATGAATTATTCGATTGCGTTATTTCCTACGCTAATCATATCAAGGCTGTTTGCCGTAATATACTCGCTATAGCAAAGTAAACGTGTACAGGTTTTATAAGCATTAACTTTCTGTACGATGTCACTATTCCATAGCGGGTCAGAATATAAAGGGACTCGTGCACAAGTAACAATTTTACTGAACGATAAAGAACCTCTCTGAAGTCAAAAAATGAAATGAAAGATAACCACGGAAAGCTTATAAGCCATAGATTACAATAATATCATTGGTATACTATTTTAGTGTCTGTCAGAGGAGTAGCAGCTCTCTGATAACTCAAAATCTAAGGCTTAAAAAAACGGAAGTTGTCGACCTTAAAACTAGCTATCGACTTGATGACATCTTATGTGTAGTAGTCAGTAGTGAGAAGTATTGAGTATACTCACAATGTTTTTTTTGCATTAAAAAGCACGGGTCATCTCCTCAGCTATAAAACTAGGCAAGCCTTTTATTTGGAGGGGTGTGGAAAATTAGGTTTTAAAATGCTTTTGTGCAACACTGAAAGGGAATAGATTAGTATTCTACATTTATTCAGCTTTTCATCGGTATAGAGAACCGAAGTGTGACGTCAAGTTGTCAAGGTTGCTGGTTCCAAACAATGTGATGGCTCTGTTCTTCTTCCAGTTATTGCACAGACCAGACCGCCTTTGTTGTTTGAAACCAGTAACCTAAAACGACGAGCGAATATGACTTTAGCACTTCGGTACTCCTCTCAGCTTTCCGTCGGTATAGAGTTGTATCTCATCGGATAGGATCTTTAAAGGAAATTTTTTATTTGTTTTATTTGTGTGTTTATTACATTTTCAATCATATAAAAATTACATATTCACAAGCCATTGGTAATATAATTAGACAAACAAACACACAAAAAAACATTATGTATACTATAAGTACATATTAAAGGAACTTGATAACATTGTTCAAATGAGAGAAAATGTTGCTAAGGTAGTGACTTCAATGCAATAGGTGTACAATTAAAGATAATCTGAAAGTTTGAGCAAAAAACAGACCGTTATTAATGATAAAGATTAGGGAAAAACTGATTTGATCGATTCCTTAATTCTCCGAACTATATTTACTACAATTTAATTACATTTTAGGGGAATGTAAATCGTCACAAAGCAATGAATTGGCTTTATATACCATTCCAGACATTTTAGTGGTGACAGATCTTTAAAAGCCTGTTTTTTATGTCTTATTTCCATAGAAAAACGGTTGGAAAAATTTAAAAATTGGTTGGGAGAATTTACGGTTAGAGGGCGACGCCTTCAAAGAAAACCATAAATATCTTTGTGGTTTCAGAATTTGTTCAGGTTTTTTTGCATGTTAGAGGGTTAGTACAGTACGAAGAAGGAACATGATAAGGAACATTTCATACAAAAATTACGCAGTTTTTTTCATCAACCTCCAACAATGTTACCGAGTTATTTTAATGTAATCGAGAGGATTTGCATATTGCCCTTTGTACACCCGGCGTCCTTTCGATTGCGAAATAGGTCCTTGGAAATACCCACTAACCCTTGTCCTCAGTGGAGGTACCCATTGGCATCCAAATAAAAGAGTACATGTAAAATGATTGTCTGCCAGAGCGATTATGCACGGCCCGAATGTTATTCGTAGGTTCTAGAGGAAAGACAGATAACTCTAAGTAGAGACACAGAACTGAGGGTGTGGTTGCTGTGTGAGACTCACTGATTCAATGCGCAGTGTATGCAAAAATGCATAGTACATGAACTCGACCAAATCACCAATGGTAGTGGTAGTGGCACTATAGGGCTATGGGCACTGACACAATAGCAATGACATTTAATGCCTCCGTCACACCTTTGCGTATTTGGCTTGCGTATTGCTGCGTATTTATGGCAAGCCGTTTTATTCATATTTCTTGATATCAAGAATTACCATTGCTTTACAACAGAAAATCATTTCTTGATATCAAGAATTAATTTATTGATATCAAGAAATAGGAATAAATGTTAAAACGGCTTGCCATAAGTAGGCAGCAATACGCAAGCCAAATACGCAAACGTGTGACTGAGGCATTAAGAGCACGCATAATGATCAGACTTGGGCGGGGACTCGTCCTCATTAGCATTACATAAATTGAGATTAAGGTTGTACAATGTCTAGACACAACACCGAGCTAGAATGTTAACTTATCCTATTATAGTGTATATAATGGGCATAATGTAGACGAGACACGTCTTACTGTTTTGTTAATACCAAGAACCATTCGGGCTTGGAATCTACTTCCCCCGCCCTTTTTATACTAATAAATTCCTTACTGCATGCTATGAATGCGCTGAATCAATATTTAAAGCTAATATTGAGCTCTGGTTTGGGAATCTTATTTTGAGAGAAAATTGCTATGATTAATTGTGGATTGTTTATCCTGCAGTAGATTGGTTGTTTGAACAAGTGAAATAAAACGAAACGCGCAAAAACGTATTGGGGCATCATCTTCGATAAAACCACAACCCCCATTTGCCTACTTACCTGGATTTCTGTATCTTTCTATACGGTCATTACTCAGCCACTATACATGTTCTACTACTAAATTTGTTTGGCACTTGTCATTTATCTGTAACCTTGAACATTCAGTGTAAGATTCGTTGGTTTCTGTGAGAGTTTTTTACTTCTATATTTACCAGCATTCCAGTTTATCCTGAAATGTGTGCGATACTGAAAACCCATTTCTTAAAGGTAAAGACCAGTTATGGTCATGCGATTGCATTGTGAAAGAAACGTTGTGGAATCGATCAGAAAAGGTTGATCATCTAGCATCTAGCATCTAGCATCTGCAAGGTTTTGGAATCATGAAAATGATAAGAAATTTGGCCCATTCTTCGTAAAGTTACAAGCACTATACACAGAAAGATGTATATGGGACTACCCTATATCTCTCACAGACCATGAGAGAAACAAATTTACCAAATATATGAATTAGTAGGCGGTTTCCCGGCAAATTTTTTATCATCATGTATTAGTAAAAAACATATTCTTTCCAATGATTGGTAAGCTCTCATTACCAATCATGTGAAAGAATATGTTTTGACTAATACCTTTTCTGATCGATTCCACAACGTTTCTTTCACAATGCAATCGCATGACCATTACTGGTCTTTACCTTTAAGAGAAATAAAAGTCGCCCAATGAATACTGCCATGAACAGTGGCGTAGCTAGTAGCTACAAGGGGAAGGGGTACGTAGCCCCATGGAGATTTTTTTAAAAAAAAGAGGGAAAAAAGAAAGAAAAGGCGATAAAAGGGAGAAAGGAAAGTGAAGAAGAGGAAAAGGATGAGAGAAAAATGACGTTTTTAGACCACCCCCTTCATCCCCCACCTTATCAATACCCTTGTCAACTCAGATTTCATTGTGCAAGTGAGATCGGCGGATTGGCGGACCCAGTCGTTTCGGTGCCCCTCTTTGGAAAAACACATGGACTACTAAGGATTCATGTACAATTATTACTGTCGATCGTACAGCCCATGACCTATCTCGGGGAAACTCTGAGTTGTATTGGGGGCCTGCCAAGTCTAGCTAAACAGAGAAAAATAGACGAAAGGATAAAAATCATCTTGCTGATGGGAGTTACTCTCTATTACCACGGAAACGGCAACAACAAACAAAAATTGAGTCATTATTGCGTAATGTTTACTGCTCGTCGAGGGGCGGGATAGCGGACGGTTGCGCGGATGCAACTCTATTAGTAGTCTGAGTAAACGAAAGTTTGCTGCACTTCCGAAAATAACAACTATTGCACATAACCTGTTTACCCCCATGAGCCTACAAGTACATGTTCGAAGGGAAGTCCACCCGAAAGATTTGCTGGTTTGAATAAAAACAGAAAAAAACAGGAGGAACAAATCAGGGAAAGTTTGAGCAATATCCGATTAAAAGTAGGAAAGTAATGAATCTTGAAAGTTCTCATCGACAAAATACAAATTGTCAACACTGTGACGTATCTTGCGAGGTCCTCTCCAATTGATCAGTTCACGGTTAGCACATGTCCCAAATGACGCCGAATATCCACATATCTTCAAAACATGAAGAGGTCCCACTTTGTACATTTTGAAATAAGCACTCCTACAGCGATGGAGGTGCTACATAAATAGCCTTTGTATCATGGAGTGCACTGCTTGTGCATAAACAAATAATGATAACATAACTTTCATGAGCACGTACCCAGTATTTGTCTCTGTATAATTATGATGGTATTATTGTTATTATTATGATAATCATTATAGGTAATGTCATTACTACTGTCATCTTAATCAACTTCATTGTTATTTAATTATTTAAACTTATTTGTGGCTTACACCCAGTAAATAAGATCGATCTGTAATGAAGAAAAAAAAGTCAGAAAAATCTTGGAACCAGCGGGACTTGAATATGTTTAAATAATTGAAATTTCTCCCAGGAAGCATACATACAAAAATCATTGTTATTGTTATACCTTTTTTTCCTTTTTTTCTGTAGCATCTGCATTGGACTGCTACGAGTGCAACGACTGCAGTTCTTTCTTTACCTACTCATCTCGGAGCGAAACATGTCCGGAACCTTTTTTATCCTTCGGGGCTTTGACCGAACCCCGATGCATGAAACAGATCGAGAGTGATGGAAGTAAGTTGACCCTTCGGGTGGTATCCTCGAAAGCGGACTAACTTTAGTCCATGGTTTAATCCACCGACTAAGTATGGAATGCCAAGTGTCCATATGAATATGTTCTTGAATAATTTAATCTGGCGCTAAATTAAAATAAAATGTAATAACATAATATATAAAAAAAAACAATATAACTATGATATTATTATGTTATCATGGTAATTTAGGGACATATCAAATTATTCAAAAATATATTCATATGGACACTTGGCATTCCATACTTAGTTGGTGGATTAAACCATGGACTAAAGTTAGTCCGCTTTCGAGAATACCACCCTTTGTCTTGAAAAATCTTGCAATATGAAATACGATTCTATTTGCCGCCCCCTCCCCATTCTTCAATCCAAGCCTCCTCCATTTCCCCTTGATTATAAATGGATTTAAGAAAGGCTCATGTGGAAAATAAGCGAGAAGCCCCAAGGCGCTCTACACTTCTTTTTAATGGATTTGTTTGTTGCGATTAAATGCCTTTTATTACACGTTTATTTATACTGCACTTCATTTATAAATATTGTTCTAGGACACCTACCCCCTGGACATCCACCCCCAGTCAACTACCCCCTAGGACAACTACCCTCTAGGGCAACCACCCTCTATAACGACTACCCACCGGGACAACTACCCCCGGGACTACCCCGGACAACTACCCCCAGACAACTACCCCGGACAGTTGTCTGGGGGTAGTTATCCGGGGGGGGGGGAGGGTAGTTGTCCTAGGGGGAAGTTGTCCGGGTGGTAGTTGTCCGTGGGTAGTTGTCCTAGGTGGTAGTCAGGGGTGGATCCAGCCGGCGGCACGGGCGGGGGCCCCAATTCGTGAGAAATATTTAGCCACTGGTGGTAGTTGTCTGTCTGGGGTGGTTTACCTGGGGATGAAAACGCTGAAATGCAATATTTTTTGTCATTGCATGTATTATTTTCATGACAGATATAGCCAGGCGCGTATGCTGGGGGGGGGGGGGGGCTTTAATTTATTTTTTTGGGTATGTTTTTGAGGAATTAAAAAAAAAAAAAGTGCTCTTACCCCCCCCCCCCCCCCCCCCCCCCCCCCCCCCCCCCCCCCCCCCCCCCCGCTTATTCAGCGGCTGGCTGAGACATTGAGAAATTTTTTAAACCAAAACAATAAATAAATATGTCCTCTTAACCAAAACCATACGTCAGTGATAATGCAGGGAGTCTAATCCCTCCGGGCTGCGTAATTTTTTTTCCCACTTGAGCTCGGGACCCCCAGTATTTTTTTTTTTTTTTTTTTCTTTGCCTCATCAGAGGATTTATTGATTATATATACATGGTTACATTCAAAGATACAATACTACAAATCAAATTTACATAATCGCAAAAACATTATTATTGTCATAACAAAGAATTGAAATTAAGTTTTGCTTTGCAAAGCAATTGAATCATAATTAACATACAAATTATACTGATAGTTTTGATTCCCTCTCTTTTTTTTTCCTCTTTTTTTTTTTCCTTTCTTTTCTTAAATAACACCCAACAGTTATTTTGGTAAAAGCTTTCTGGTCATCTTTAAGTTTGATTTACTTTCCATTCTTTTTATAATTTCTCTATGGAGATTTTGTTTAGAAGCAACTTTTCTCTTGTCTATCCCAGTTATATTTCGTTTAACAATCAATTTATAAATGATCCAAAATGCTATTGTAAGAATAAAATACAATGACTTTCACAATCTATTTTGAGTAGGTGTTGGATATTGAGCGTCAGTATCCTTACTTTGTTATATCTCTTAATATTTCTTTGATATGTTTAATGAAGGGCTCAATTAGTTTGCATTCTATAAATGCGTGATTCATATCCTCTTTTATATTACATGTTGGGCATACATCGTCATTGGATATTCCCCATTTGAAAAGATTACTTCTTACTGGCAGTAGATTATACAGTAATTTCAAATTAAACTCTCGTAATTTGCTTTCTCTAATTTGTGCAAGATTACGCTTGAATACCGTAGACCAATCAATATCTACATTAAGTTTTTTTTTCCCGATAAAGGCAACATGTGTTAGGGACCCCCAGTATGAACTCATTTGCATACAGCCAATCAGAGCTCATTTTGTCAATAATCAGCTTTACGCGAGCTAAAAATGAGAAATTCAAAACTGTGCGAAGCTCTGGGCTTCACACACGTACACACAGCGCCTTGCCTATATCAGCATGCATGGTGTGCGTGCATAGGCATAGGCTTGAAAATGTTTTATTTCAGCTCTAACATATCTACCTTTAGCAAATTTATTACAGAACTACATATATCAGCTTATCAAATTGCTGTGAAAAACTGTTATTTAGCACTAAGTTACAATTACTCTATCAATCAAGGATAGGCCTTTCTCGTCATCGAAGCCACTTCATATTATAGGGACTAATTTCTAAAGATTTTATGATTGAACAATTTATTATAGATCTACACCTCTAAAATACTCTAATAATATCAGCTTAAGAAATTGCTGTGATGTTCTCAGGTAAGAATTCCTGCAATAAAAGAAGTAACAAAATAAAGGTGATATTATAAGAGCCGTTTAGAGGTGTATAATATAGTCTAGAGCTATAATAAATTCTCAACCGTAAAATCTTTAGAAATTAGTCCCTATAATATATAGTGGCTTCGATGACGAGAAAGGCCTATCCTTGATTGCTAGAGTAATTTAAATTTAGATCTAGCGCTAAGTAATAGCTTTACACGGCAATTTCATAAGCTAATATTATATTAGAGCCTTTTAGAGGTGTAAAGATCTATGATAAATTCTCAACCGTAAAATCTTTAGAAATGAATCCTTATAATATATAGTGGCTTCGATGACGAGAAAGGCATATCCTTAATTGTAACTTAGTGCTAAATAACAGTTTTTCACAGCAATTTGATAAGCTGATATTTGTAGATCTGTAATAAATTTGCTAAAGGTAGAGATGTTAGAGCTGAAATTAAAGTAGATATTCATTGATTTTAAAAACTAGCTTTATTTTCATTATTGCAAAGTTGAAACTTTGATTCGACAAGGTTATCAAAATTCAATGCTTGGAAACATTCGAAGTAACGATTATTATAAATTAAAAAATGCTTAAATACAGCCCCGGCATAGCACCTGAAGAGCTCTCCGAACGCTGCTGAGATGTGTGAGATCACAGTATGGACATGACTTGCACAAGCAGACGATGTCCCATGACAACCCACACATTTTCAGTGCCTGTGTTTTCATCTTCTCTTGAGTTCTTTCTCTTACTTCACTACTGGCAGGCTAAATGTATGATCTATTGCCTCACTCTAAACCCCGCGCATGGTTTAATTTTGATGACAAATGCAGCGATACAAAAATAAAGGAATCTGTCGCTTGTAAACAAAATAAGACGCCATTGTATATTCAGCTGCACACACCGGGGTATGTTCGGCGTTTCAAGAGGGAACAAATGCCGTCCTTAATATCATTCCGGGGCTTTTCAATTTGAAAGTCTGGTTTCTTTGATCGTTAAGTAACCCCTATCCTGTGTATTTACAAGCAAAAGATTTTAGTTATCAGAATCGGGTCATATCCCCTTTTGAATGGTTTGACATGCCATTACATTTATATACACCAAACTCATTATAATTTGACAAATAATTGCTTTGCAATTATGTTCATTCTCGATGGGATGTCGTCTGCTTGGGCAGTGTTGGTCCATATAGTGACGTCATTAAAACATCGTTACTTTTCTGGCGAATCTCTCGTATATCCCAGCTGCTATGGAGGTGGTTGTATTTGTATTTTTATAAATCACCCGATATGTAGTTGACCTAAAACTTGTCCGATGGCCATCTGTTAGCTTACCAGTTTCTAGTGATACATTAGTCGACATATTTGTGAATTTCTTTGAATTTCACCTTTAAACATTTGCAAGCCTAGGCCTATGCACGCACACCATGCACGCTGATATAGGCAAGGCGATGTGTGTACGTACGTGTGTGAAGCCCAGAGCTTCGCACAGTTTTGAATTTCGCATCTTTAGTACGCGGTAAAGCTTGTTATTGACAAGAAGGGCTCTGATTGGCTGTATGCAAATGAGTTCATACTGGGGGTCCCGAGCTTAAGTGGGACAAAAATTACGCCTTCGGCCGAACTAGTGCAGACAGGCTTTAATTTATTTTTTGATTTGTTATGTTTTATTTGCAGCGATCGTCCGCAGTTGCTCCGACCGAACCACCTGTACTACCCAAGAGCTAATCAATAAGTGCAGTGGAGACGAAGTCGGCTGTAGGATATGTTGTGACGGAAACAATTGTAACTCCGCCTCTTTCCTCACTGTCTCCATGGCAACGCTGATCCTGTCGACTGCCTTTGCCTTAGTGCGCATGTTCTGATGATGATGATGCAGGGCGCCCTCTTCTTCTTATCCACATCTAGTTTCACTAGCCAAACATACACAGAGAAATCCTTAGGAATCATCATGCTTGATACTTCATTTGAAGATTTCGTAATGCACATTGTAATTGTAACCAGGTTTCAATCGGATTCAATACTCTCTTGAGGAAAAAAATGAGCTAGGGTAGAAAAATGAGGAGTTGTAATTCTCAAAAGGGAGATAGAATGAGAGAGTTAGAGTTAGAGAGAGAGAGAGAGAGAGAGGGAGAGCACGAGATGAGGTGTAGATGACAGGTTGCCTGTAGGCAAGGGCGGGGTTAGGAGAACAGGATTTGTTCTCAACACTTTTGTTGAATATTCAATCATGTTTGATAATCGTCTTTTATATTTTTGGATGATTTCTGAGGCTTCCAAACTATCTTTGAAATACTGTAAGAATTTTGTTTAGAACTGATTTCGATGTAAATATATACATATTGTGGTGATTTTTTTAAAATCCATAACGGTGTAGATTTCACATGTTTAAAGTGGTATGTGCACCGAAAAAAAATGTATACAAACTACACGTGTGTAGAATATTATCATCTTTATGTTCTTTCAAAATCTACAAGAAACGTATATAACTGACGGCGATTAGAAAATGTTTAATTGTATTTGACAATGATTAGTATAATATGTGCAAGATACAATTTTTTTTCTCATGACGCTAAAGGGTACCAGTAACACGTTCTGCATTTTGCGCATGACGCGTCATTTTGAATACGCTATTACTTGCGCTAATTAATTCAACGCAAAGGTTTAGCCATGATCCCATTGGGTATGGTGTCTCTCTCACGTGGCGCGCTAAAGACTGCGTCAGTCACTGACGCATTTGTACGTCAGGCAAATGACGCGTCGTGTGCAAAAAAGACGTTGGGAAGATATCAAGCTGTTTTTGATTGCTAGCTTATAGAAATTATTGTAAATGAATCTTTAGGGGAGGTAGTGCCAATGCATGCGCTACTGAAAATATTGCCATCGTTCGTAGTATTTTGACCAGCCTGGTGATGATGTCATGTTGGAATTTCACTCACACGCTGCGTCAAAAACATTGTGAGTCACTGACGGAGCCATGCGTCAGCAAATTGACGCTCCGTATGCAAATGGACATAGAGAATGAATGTTGCAGAAAGGTATCCTAGACGCAATCATTGATGACGCTAGGAAAGTGTAAAACGGTGGAAAACCGAGGGCGGGTCACATTATAAATAAAATCAAGATTAAACCAATAAACTTTAACCGGGGGGGGGGGGGGGGGGAATGGGGAGGTAGATGAAAATAAAGAAGAACGAAGATATAAAAAAACGGGCCTAATACTTGCTGGATGATCACCCCATCTGTAAAAATCCTTTAGAAAGGTTCAGTTACTGACATGTATATGTATTTCAATACAAGTACGTATTAATCACCAATCTAGTTCTGCAGAAGAAAAACTAATCTTTTGTACATTGTTCTATGAACCCTACCCTATCGCAGTTTGTCTTTTCATAAAATGTATGTACTTCTCGGGTTTTCTATTTGCTTTTTAGTAGTACTAGCTCGCTGTTTCGCTGCTTGATTTAATTTTATCTGATTGTCGATTTGCTTTACAAGAAAGGTGCAACAAGATGCGTGCCATGTCAGGATAGACCTTAGGCAAGGCCCTAGTCTAGGTTTCGGTATAATTATATTTCAAGAGTCGGAATGCGAATTGCATACATTAATTGTTGCTAGGTAGGACAAACATTATGGCTTGACCTTCCTGACAATACGTAATGCATACAATTCGCTTTCTGACAATTGAAATACAATTATTCGTAACAGGTGATGAAATAATTTGTAACGAGGCACTTAATAAAGATTTATGCTTTCATTTTGATTACATTACGATAATGGCCTATTGAAATTGTAACGATTGGTATACAGTTGTACACTTGAAGGCTGAAATATAAATCTCTTTTACAATATTCCTGATATGTAACGTGTCTGATTTTTTTCTTGCACACACGGGACTTGCAGCCCTTGGGGGCGTTTCACAAAACTTGTCATCAGTGGCAAATGACAGTTTTTGTTATAAGCTACTGAAATCCTTGCTGCTGTTTGGTTATCGGCAGATTTGTCACTGATTTTTGTCAATTGTCATTGGAAAAGGCTTTGTGAAACGACAGCCCATGAGACCGGCAGTGTATAGGTCTGGCGAGGCAGTTGACAACTTTTCAGAAAGCCCGCAAGACCGACGCGATGGCAATCTGGTGATCCGACATATTCTCGGGCGACAATTATTGCTCCGGGCTTTTCATTCGTCAAAAGTATGACGTTCGAATTGAAGTTGTAATTTGGTTTCAGGTTAGGTTTGGGTTTAGGGTTAGGGTTAGGTATAGTGTTTGGGTCCAGGCCTGGGATTGGGAATTTAGTTAGTGTAGGAGGTCGTCCGCGGTCCACGATGTCGCGGAGCAATAATTGTTACAGGAGCGAATGTCGTACAACCATATATCTCCGTACCACAGGGCTATTCCTAGGGGGGGGGGGGGGGGGGGGGGGGGGGTCCATAAGTCCTGATATGAATAAGGGTCTGGATTGACATCTATGATGGCAAGATGGCAAACACTAATCATGGTAGTAAGTCGGCTCGTGATTTGCTTTCGACGCTACAAAAAAACAAACCTCAGTTTTATTCCCATACATGCTCAATTATGCATGGCCACAACACATCAAATGTTTTCTATACCGCGGGGCTAGTTATTAGGGGGCGGTAAGAGTAGTCTGCATGGAGGCACAGACCCCAATTCGACACTTAATCACAATTAGTAAAGCCTAGAGCAGAACCTAGTTCTGCCAATACCTGCAGCGTACGGAACAGCTAAAGTACACAGCCTATGCGGTATGACGTCACTGTAGTCGCAAAGTACAGACACTGTTACGCCAAGCGACTGACAAGGGGTGATGGATGCAAACTACGGTTAAGGCTAGTTGACCCAGAATCATGATATTTTTAATTTCAATTTATTGTCCAATATCGGGGATTTGTTTTGCTCATATTTTACAAACGTACAAAGAACCAAACAACTTTACATACACAATATATTATGATATCCTACGACATAGAAATCCCAGGCTTCAGAATATTGCTATACAGTAGTTTTCTTACGTTATTATAAACAAAATACGGAACTAAAGGGTATTATGGCCAAAACATGGGACAGAAAAAGCTAGGTCATGAAATGCTGCTTATGTTCACTAAACCACAGAACACAAAATAACAGTTCCTTATGAAAGTGGAGTATATAGTACTACTGCCAAACAATATGGCCACAAAACGACAGATGCGATGGCAGCTGTTAACAACGTTAATTTCTTCCAAGTTCATTCACACAGATTTTGGTCGCATTCCCTTATTCAATTAGCAGCGGGAGAGAGAGAGAGAGAGTGAGAGAGAGAGAGAGAGAGAGAGAGAGAGAGATGAGAGAGAGAGAGAGAGAGAGAGAGAGAGAGGAAAGGGGAGGGGTTTTGGAGAGAAAAGAATCGGATAATTATGTAAACAAGCAAATTCGGTGCAGTCAGGCGTAATAGGCATTCGGCTCACAAATGAATGAATGAATGAAGGAATTAATGAATGAATAAATAAATGAATAAGTGTATGAATGAATGAATAAGTAAATGAATAAGTAAATGAATAAATTAATTAAATGAGAAAAAAAAAACCTTCAACGGTCAATCGTCGCGGTTATATAGCTCATTAACGATAAATCGGCGTTTTAGCTAGACTGTATTGGCTGTTGTTGTGGTTGCATTCCCGTCGGGGTCCCCCCCCCCCCCCCCCCCCCTCTCTTTTCCCTCTCCAGCTCTGTCCTTTATATCCGCATGCCTCCCTCTAATGTCCCCTTTTGTCAGTCGTTATTTATTAGCCCTACCAAGTGTACTATCACTAACAAGTCCCTGGTTGGCGGTAGTTGCGACCTGATTGGTGAATTGCCATTTGGTCTACTATCCACATGGTCTAATAACACTTTCGTCTACTTATCATTACTTTGGTCAAATAGCCATTTGGTCTAACATCCATTTGGTCTACTCTCTAGTAAGTCTACTAAATATTATGAATGTTGCTCATTTAGTCTAATTTCCAGTCGGTCTAATCGCAGATTTCGGCTGCTATCCATTAAAGGGATCGTTTAGCAATGTTAAATCTGAGATACACGGCCCTACGTGTTATCAATGTCTGTGATATGGTGTTACATTGAAGCCCTACACAAAATTGCTCTTCAAAATGATCAAGAAGTGCCTCCAAAAAGTAAAAATCTTTGAGTGACCGGTTTTACCATACTCGTTTCCCCCAATAGACTGTATAGTGTAATGAAAACCGTTTGGAAAACGCAAAATTTGATTTCGATTTTCAATCATAAATATCTTGATAATCAGACTGGCGATCGGCTTGTAAAAGTCATGGGGTTCCTGACCGACCTAAAGGTTCATCAATATCATTGCAGCATTAGCTAAATCAATAATTTGTTTAAAGGTCCAAGGTCCCGGATCCCTGTAATAATCATTTATGATTGAAAGACTCTTGGATCATATAGATAGTAGATCAAGTTCAAGTTCAAGTTTATTTATTCAAAACCACACAAAACATGATATAATCTTTTACATGAAAAAGAGACTGGTAATAGTACATCATTAAGTGAATGGTTTTAGGACCCCTGTAGAAGCTAAGCTTGTGAGCGGGGCCCTATAGTCAACAAAATACATACATTTACGATATGGCAAGGTGAATAAAAAGAATGTAATGTTTATACAAGGGATGGAAACAAACTAAGCTACAAAATATAGAACACAAAAAAATATTCACACACACGCGCGCACCCTCACACACACACACACACACACACACACACAGTCCTTAGTGGTCTATAAACATTTGAGAATGAAAAATTATTAAGATACAAAGTAGAATTATGTCAGTCTTCCAAGTAGGTACGTTTTAGATAACCTTCTAAACCTAGAAAGAGTTGTACTATATTTTATATCATCAGGCAAACTGTTCCATTCTTTGATGCAAGAGATATGGAAAGAGGTCAGAGTGATATTTGTTCTTGCAAAAGGCTGATGAATAAGACCCCTTTGACGTGTATTATAATTATGAATTTGTGAGTTTTTACGGAATAAATCTTTTAACGTACATTCATGAGGCATAAACTGAAGTTTATACATAAACAATACGCAATTGATTGACACAAGTCCACTTAGTGGTAACATTCTTAATCGAAGGAACAATGGAGAACTTGGATGTCTATAATTAGAATTAGTAATAAGCCTTATTGCCTTCTTCTGCAATACTCTTAACTTATCAAGATATGACTTAAAAGTGTTTCCCGAAGCAACATTACAATATGTCAAATAAGGAAGAATAATACTATTATATAATGTTATCAGCACTCTTTCAGGTAAAATAAATTTCAATCTAAAAATGACACCTACACTTCGAGACAACTTAGTGCATACAACATCTAAATGATTCTTCCAAGATAAATGTTCATCCATAGTTAACCCTAAGAACTGAACATTTTCACTAAGCGCAACATCATGGCCTCCAACATTAAGAAAAGTAATACCATCGGGAAGCTTTTTACCCTTTGAGCGAAAAATAACACATTTGGTCTTTTGAACATTCAATAATAACTTATTACAACAATACCATGCATACAGTTTCTGAATCTCTTGATTTGCAATTAGTAATAAATCTTCAGCCTTCTTATCAACCAGCAGCAAGCTGGTATCATCAGCAAACAGGGAGTATGAGAATAATGTTGACGAGTGTATTATATCATTTATATAAATTAAAAACAACAGGGGACCAAGAACAGAACCCTGAGGTACACCATATTTAATAGAAGCAAGTTGGGAACTACTACCATCCACCACAACAAATTGAGATCTGTCAAACAAATAGCTTTGGAACCAAGACAATGCTACACCACGTATTCCATAATGCTCTAGTTTCCTGAGGAGGATACCATGGTCAATGGTATCAAACGCCTTAGATAGATCTAAGAACATCCCCAGACAATACTTGTCTCCATCAATAGCTTTTATGATATTACTTAATAAATTAAACACACCCATTTGTGTGGAGAAGTGCTTACGAAAACCGCACTGCTGAGGAATCAAGATATTCTTTTTAGATAGAAACTCATTTAAGCGTTTATAAATTATTTTCTCAAGAATTTTAGAAAAGATTGGTAACAGTGCTATTGGTCTATAATTAATGACATTTTTACGGTCAGATTTTTTTATATACTGGTACCACTTTAGCTACCTTGAGTTTATCTGGAACAACTCCCTGAGATAAAGACATATTAAAGATTTTACATAAGGGATCAATAAAAAGGTGAATGCACTCCTTTATAATTCTAGGTGAAATATCATCAGAACCACTAGATATAGATGGTTTCAAAGATGACACAATATCAATGATCTCGGAGTTTGAAGTTGGTTTTAGAAACATAGATGCATTATCTTCACACTGTTTCATATAATCACGAAAAGATTGTGGTACTTGAGGGATATCTGTACTGATTTTCATGGGTAGTCCAATGAAATATTTATTAAAACTTTCTGCCTTATCCTTGGCAGATGATAGGAGTACTCCATTAAAATCCATCTCTTGAGGAAGTGAATGCCTATTTGACCGACCTAACAATTCATTGATATGAGACCAAGTTTTTCTTATATCGCCTTTAACACTGTGGAACAAATCATTGTAATAATTTTGCTTGGCTATACGAAGAGTATTAACCAAGACATTCTTATAATCAACATATTTCTTTTTATTCTCAGTTGTTGGTCTCTTGACATAACTACCATAAAGCTTATGTTTGCGGTTTATTGAGTTCAACAAAACATGAGTTACCCAAGGCTTTTTACATTTACTCTTTAATGTTACCTCAACTAATGGGAAACATAAATTATATAA